TCGATATCATTATTTTGATTATTTACATTTGAATAGGGCATTAACTTGAATTAAGAGCTCTGAGGTGTGGTCAGAATTAAACAGGCACTACTCATTTAACCTGCCTATTTTCATTTAATCACTATCTCGAGTTGTCATTCTTATCATATTTGCTTGGCATTGTTTTTCGTGCATATGGTAGACAGCTTTTATCGTGAAAAATTATATGGTAAATAGCATCCTTCATTGTATTCGCTATTTCGCCTTACGTTGTTTATCTATATATTATAGGCCAAAGCCGCTGGTGATGAAGAAGCAATGCCAATTGATGAAGATTACATAAGTGCCCTTGGTTATGGTTTAGCACCCACTGGCGGCGTCGGAATCGGCCTAGATCGTCTTACCATGTTTTTCACCAACACAAACAATATAAAAGAGGTACTTTTATTCCCAGCTATGCGCCCAAGTACACAATCTCAAGCAAGCCTTCTGATATCTTCAGAGTTACCTTTGGATATTGGTTCAAAGAATCTTTTAACGCCTCAAACTCCACACGTGCAGTTGCACGAAGAGTGTCCTTCTGATATGCATCGAAACGAAGAAGTTATACAGAAGCCTGAAGAGCAGCCATTGGAGCAGGATTGGCCCATTAAGCAAAAAGAAGAGCTTACTCTCTCTCATGGAGACCGTCCTCATGACTACCCGCAGTTGGCACATCCCACTATCGATTCAGAGATCACGCCTATTACTAAGATTGATACTGCACCTGATCGCCACCAAGCGTGCACGGAATCGACTCTCGACACAATCTCGCAAGCAGTAGCTGCTTCAATCTCTCAGACGTCTTCTGAGGGTCGGGCCACCTCAACCTCACCCCAGACTGTCCATGTTACTAGTCTAGCTTCTAGCAATAGCCAGATCCAAAGTGAGGCCAATGTTCATGAGCCAACGCCCTCAACACCAATCAAATTAAATCCCCCCTGCTCAACTATTTCTCCTCATGAGCACATTACCACAAAGTCTTCTGGTGGAAAGAGAAAAAGGGGGAGAAAATAATAACTCATTCGCTTCTTTAATTTCCTTTTTACAATTACACATGTCTGGATAGGTTATCTTTCGTCTAAACTGCATCATTTTATGACAGACCTTTGCTAGCGACCGGAACACTCCACTGGTTCAAAGGTATCTCTTTTTCTCTACTACCGTTCGTTTCATAGTTCCATCCTTCACTGTATTCATTCATGCCACGTACTCTGAAAAGACTTTTGTCTACCGTACCTCATTCTTACTGCACATACGTAATCTTTTATAATGAAAAAATGGCCCTAACAACATGAAAGCTTCTCTTAAGTGAAACTTTTATCTCGTTAGGATCATTTTGTTGCACATCTGGCTTTCAGTTCTTATGGGTGGTTCTGTCATTTTCTTTTTTCAGGTGTCAATAAATGCATGCTCATCTACTCACGTGGAGGCTTGGCTCGATTAATTTTTTTTCCATGCTGCTTTATCATGTATTAGTGTGTGATGTTTCCTCGTTCGGGTTTTTATTTGGCCATGTTTGGGACAATTCATTTTTGATAAGATAGATGAATTTCCAGTACATTTAGGCCATAATGCCGAATTTCTGTGACGGTTGTGCTTACCTGCCTCCACATCAGAAGCCTGTAGGCTTCATTAATCCCATCTTTAGTCTGTATTTATGATGGCAATAGCTATCCAAGTAGTGGTACAAAGAAATATACAGGTCGTGAAAAGCAGTGAAGAGGACTTGCAAAAGTAGATATGCCAAACTTCATGTGAAATGACTCAAAAAACCACGGCTAACACTAAGGAAATGGAGTATTCAGGTGACCTGACCACGGAGGAAAAAACAATACTCTTCACAGGTCTACCCACTCAACATGAGGATGGACAAGTTGGATTCCTCGGGCGTCTATTGGATACCACGCAGTGCCTGCGGGCAGTAATATATGGACGAAACAGAGATTGTAATCAGTGTAAGAATCACGGAAGATCAAAGGCTCTGCAGGAACATGGATGTCAAAAAATCAGAAGTAGCGGAACACATTGGACAGACTGGACACGAGAGCAATTTAAAGGCAACAGAAAGAAAGGCATCATACATTGAAAATACAAGGAAGCGGAAGATTATGGAAGCCATTGACATGTTTGGAGAAATAAATTAAATGAACGCGATGTAGGAAGAAGGCAGACTAAGAGATAACTTCGCCTGTTGTTGATACAGGCTCGGGGACAACAATAATACAGCAAGAACGACAAAAAGAGACGCCTGAGTCAAGGATCTATCGTTAACCAGATCGCGAAGAGGAAGGTGATGGAAAGTTTTCAAAAATCCACCTTGGACGTTCTAAATGAGGAAAGTGCTCTGAGAAATCAGTACAACTAGGTGTCTGGCGGCCATGGAACTAGGGAGACAGGCAAGCACAACCGTCACAAGTTCGGCATTATGGCCAAAATGCACTGGAAATTCACCTTATATGCCCTAGGCGTCAAGAGGTAGGCGTCCAGTTTACTCGGGTAACACGGGTTTAATCAAGGAGACGATCCGCGAAGGCAATGCCTGATATCTGCAAGTATGGCAATCAGAGCCTGGGCGCTCTGCTTGGTGAGACTATATGGTCTTGTTCTCATGTGGTACTCTCTTCGTTTGAGAGAGTTGTGAAGTTTTCCTGATAATCGCCTGCGAAGTTTTTATGCCATATATATCGGATGTGTTAGATAGGGTGGTCTGAAACAAAGTTTTGCAGAATGTGGAGACTTCACTAGTTAGCGGAATATTTGGGGATCAAATTAAATTAAAAACCCTTCCTGAATATAATGAACTAGTATAATAAGTTAAACCAGAGCAGTCTTAGAATATTAGATAGAATTGAGAGCGGGGACAGTGTAGGGCAAGGCTAAATGAAATTCAATAGGAATGTGAGGCCTACTCATAGCGTTGTGGGAAAATTCAACTATCATTTCTTCATCACGTAAAACGAAATAAGGTGAACCAAGTTCATATTTCAAATTCATCTACACGATAATGTATGTTATGCGGTGATGCTTAGTGTCTGCTAGCTGCATTTATATGGAAAGGAGAGGCATATTTGGCAATATTCATTATATGCAGCAGTCCGGTATTTGATGCAAAAAAACAAGTGAAAGTATAGTGCAGATAGGCTTCCTAGTAAGAACGGTTAAAGGCTATTGAAATGCTCAGATGTGACTAACGGGATTGTCAAGGATAAGCGGTATTTTGCCAGGGAGTGAAGTTCGACTATTTCCTGACGATGAAATAGCAGAGCCAAGGCGTTGAGTGAAAGGAATCGAGGAGACCAGGCGAAATTATAATATTCATTGGGGCGTAAAGAGTTATCCTTGATTGGAAATTAGGAGGATTAGCCTAGTGTGTAGAATCACAAATAACAAGAGTTAAAGCTTTCATAGACCGAAGACAACACAAACTAAATGTCAGTATGGACAGTATAGACTATGATAGTTTCCAGGTGCTGAGTATGGAAGCTAAGGCATGAGATCTGTAGCTTAGATGAAATGTGCAAATTCCGTGTAACCGTTTACCTATGATATAATGGTGAAAAAATAGAGTATAGGCAAGAAAGGAAAAGTATGAAATCATTGGAAGACACAATGTTCCGTACATTTAAACAACCTCCTCAGATAAAAAAATATAGCATCTGGGCCCTTATATTTCCTATCAGTATGAATAGTAGTACAATAACTCAATATAAATAGTGATGTCCTATGCCTCAATTGACTTTAATTATTTGCAATTATCATAAGTGGAGAACCTTCCTTATAAAGTATGAGGCATAGGAAAAATGTTCAAATTGTAGTGAAGGCTAATAAAGGAGGATCAGAGGTAGTCA